ACTCATATATTTTGTTTGCTTGACTAATCTTAACCCACCAAAATATTAAAGTTTATTTTTCTGAAATCCAATCCTAACAATAATTCATTCATGATTTTTAAAGTAAAACTACCATGGCCATAATAATACTTGAATGCAAAATCAAAAAGTTTAGTATTTTTGTACATATAAAATATATATTACTAGCTTTTTGATAAGTAGTATATTTTATGCAGTTGATATTTTCTTAGAACTTTATTTCTTATGGTCATTTCGGTGATACCTGGTAGTTGTGTTGTACTATTTGCAAGAGACAATTTATTCACCAAGATTCTTTTTGATAATATACACCCCATTCAAAAATACTTACTTTCGATTTATACTCTATAGATCTTCTACAGTACTCTCAACTCGTGACACAACAGTCCTACACTTTTGTAACTGATTAATTTTAAAATTCTATTGAGTGTTGGTTGGATGTAGTTACTAACCGATGAAATTTTTCTAAGGTGTACAACTAATCACAAACTGATTGAAGTTTTAAATTTTAAAAATCATTAAAGTTTATTTCGCAAGCTTCATGGTATTGTGTCTATTTTAACGATGAAAAGAAAAACACAAGTTCAGTCAGTCAGTCAGTTAGCTACAACGTAGGACTTCTTACGTGCGCGTACATCAATTCAGATTGCCATACCACATGAGCAAACAGAGACTCAATTTTCGATTCAAATTCCATTGTAGTAGAGGTAGTGAAAGTGTTTTATCAGTAACCAAAGAGATTAAAGTTCGAAGATATTATTCAAGAAGTATAATCTAGTGAAATAAGCTTAAAAAAGAAACATAAAGGTGATGGGAAATTCAGAAGGTTAGAATTTGAGAGAACAGAAAGAATGAATCTACCTGTGCCATTGCAAATGATTTTGAGCCATGTCGTTCAAGGTCTCTAACCATAGGTGACTATCGTCACGCGGAGCACAACCAGGTAGCCTACATCTAACAACATGACTCAGTCCACTTGTCAGTGACTTCATGGATTACTGCCATGTTTTGGTCCCCATAGCTCTCTTCCAGCCTAATCCTACATCATGAAACATTGCTCGACGAGGCAATCGGTGGTTAGGCATACGTAACACATGTGCCGACCATCTCAACTGATGAAGTCCCAATACTTCATCAATTGATTTGCCATCGTTGTAAATCTTTACTATTAAGAAACCTAAAACTATATCTGATGATTATCAGTAATTGTTACGCTCGTCACTAAGTATGCTTGAGGCTATTACGAGTTTACCTTAGTCGATAAATGCGAACGAGACTTTTACCAGCGTCCAGGTAGGCTACGTTGAATCCAAACGGTAAAACAGAAATCTTGGTAAGCGTAGAAAGTATATTCTACAAACACCCAGCAATCACACAATACAATCAAGCACACAACTCTCGTTTATTTATACATCATAAAAACGTCCCTTGAGACAGTTACGAAAATAGCGCACTAAAATACACAGCAGCCAATCACAGCCATGGATTTTCGTGGTGGGAATTGGAATCTCAAGGTCAGTTGATCAGCCCATGCTCGCAAACGTGAAAACCAAAATAAGGCATTTATTGAGCGAATTTCGGGGATCTAACATCCCCAACAGTAATCCAATATGTATTGAAATCTTCATAATTTTTTAACTCTAACAAATAATTAACTTATTCTCAATACTTTACACAATTTCTTTTTGTCCACTCTTACTTATATCATAGATGCGAATTGTTTTTGATACATTCAACGAAGCAACTGAACGAATTCATTCGAATCTACCAAATTATCCAAGTATATCAACTTATTTAAGTGGAAATTCTGTCAAGACAACACCAACAACAACATTCAATCCGAATAAATCAGGAATATTTCATCGTTTCTATTTACCAAATGAAAATTTCTATCTAAGTCCATCTACAATTGCACCGAGTTTATTGATTAAACGAACTAATTGTTCTACTGGTAAAAGTAAGTTTTTTAGTTTGTTTTTCTAAAAAAAAGGGTTTTTTTTAAACCTGGATTCATTGAACTTCCGTTTTATCCAAATCGATCATTGCATCTAGGCTCTTATGTATCATGCGTTAACACTTACTTAACTTCAAGACCATTCAAACGGTGGTGTTCGATTCCTATTTGAATGAATGCAATATTGTGAGTTGCTACAGGTTTCGGAGCTCGAGTAAAGAGCCCAACCATGTTGGATGTGCAACGGTTATTCGTGACGACTGAGTAATGTCGTTGATTGATTGAAATTAGATGTATGTATCACCAGATACTGGTTTAATGGTTTATAGAATTAAGTCTTTGTTGATATTTGTTGATATTCAAAGAATAGTTTCGCAAAACCTTTGAACGCTAGCTAAATAATAGCGATAAAAGATATCAAGTACAAATTGTTACGATTTACGATGTCCGAGATCGGAACACGATCTTATACTCAAACCGCTCTACAAACTGGTCAATCAAGCGGGAGAGCTAGAACTGAAGAAACATTTTATTTGGCTACTCGAATAATATGTACAAACGCTCGTCTATACATTAATAATATGTATTGGCTTTTGCCAACTTGCGTCACTTATAGCGAGGGCGAGATATCCGTTTGCTAACTAAAGGAAGAGTGCATTGCGCAGCATTTCGCTTCGTCTTACTATACGGATGCGAAACATGGCTGGTAAGAGTAGAGAACACTCGTAGGTTGCTATTCTTCGATTATAGGTGTCTCCGAAGCTTAGCACGTATATCCTAGGACAGCCGAGTAAGCAATGCTGTCGTTAGGAAACGATTACTAGGTAGAGATGGCCAATCAGTAGATGAAGTATTGAAAATTTATCCGTTGAGGTGATTGGCTCATTTATTACGTATGCCCAGCTACCGACTACTCCGACAAGTTTTGTATTCTGGTTAAGACGTAGGCTGAAAGAAAACTAGGAGCGGCCAAACCAAAACATGGTGCAAATGCATGAAGTCACTGACAACTGGATTGAGTCATGTTAGTAGGTGTACACTACCTGGTTAAGGTCTTCGAGACGAAAGTCACCGATGGTTTGAGACCTTGAATGACATAGCTCAAAATCGTTTGCAGTAAAGCAGGTGCTAATTATTCTACTATCTCTACCAATCGCATAATAATAATCGCATCTCTGTGCTAATGTGGTATGACAATCTGAAGTGATTTACAAACACGTACGAAGTTGTACGATGTAGCACATCGACTGATTGACTGACTGACTAACAGACATTGATATTATCATTGTCATTACTATTAATCAGTCAGTCGTGTGCTGTTACGGGTATGAGGGCGGTTATCAATTCCCGGCTGCCCACAGCGTGGAAGGTTGTTTCTTGAGGGACCTGAAAAGGAAGATAGATTAGTGTTGGTCTTGGAGACCTGGGTCCGTGACCACAGAGCCCAGGGGACAACTCCTTGAGGCCGGTCACGCACGGCCTTTTTATGAGAAGTTTTTTGAGTGTTAGCTCCGCTCTTGAAAGCCCTTAGTGGGCACCCTTACCGACGGAGACGGAAATCCGTGAGGTAGGGTGAGGTGTGACATTTTTAGGGTCGACCTTTTCTAACACTCCCTTCCTTCCTTGTGAGAAGGCAGCATCGCTGCAGATGCTGCTTGTTGTCCGAGGGAAACACCTTACTGTTGTCACACCCCTCTTCAGTCACTCAGCAGTACGACTTCTCCCTCAGACCTTGAGTAACTGCTGCTTTTAGTCTCATCATTCTCCAATCGACCTGCCTGGCATGGTAGAACCTTCAGGAACATATGTTCCAGCCAGTATAGCTCAGTTGGGTCATGACGATACGCAAGCTCGACCACCACGTCAAGGTAGCAGCTTCGGTCAGGCATTGCTATTCATACAAATAATAATAATCATAATCATAATAATCATAACAAAACAGCTTACTGATTCATTCTTGTTACTGCTATTTTTCTTATCTATTTTTTCTTTGTAAAAAATATATGTACGTGCATGCGTATATATATAGAATTTCTAGGAATGATTACTTTGAATACATTATGGTGTCACTATTTTCATTATGTGGCAATTGAGTAAGTTGAAACCAAAATATTATTATTATTATTATTATTACTGTTATTATTATTATTATTACTGTTATTATTATTGATAGAAGTGAATTGATATTATGTTTAGCGATAGAATTCATGATTAGTAATACTTACCTTATCCTTAGGGTGGAGATTTAGTTTTTTGTTCAGTACTGGTTCGTTTCAAATACACACACACTATCGTGTGTTATTCATTTAACAACTAAGTTCAATCGAATGGTTAGGCGTTCGCACACAATACCGAATGTCCCGGGTTCGAATCCTGCGAGGTGCAGGAGTCGTGGATGAGTCCCACACCAGGACGAAATAACCGTCCAGTGCTTCTAGGTATCTAATGGTGGTCTAACAACAATGATTGATTGGTGATTTCGAATGTGTAAAAACACTAATCTCCATAAGTCTAATTGAAAATTAGTTCAGATCGTTGATCATTTTTCTTCGCTGAAATTACGAATCGTTCATTGTTAGTTAGACAATTATTAGAAACATGGAAACATTGTAGATGGTTGTTCTGTCCCTAGTATGGAACTGATCAGTGGTATGTATCTAAAAACCTTCGCTCGTTCAGGGATTCAACCTAGGACTTACTGTCTTTTGCGCGAACCTTTAACCTCTGGAACATTGAGCCAGCATGCAATGGTGTTAATGTTGTTTAGGTTTGAATAATCCTTCATATTGTGCAATATAATCGATTGTTTTCGGTCGGTAACAACTGCCGGACATGTGCTGAGCATTCCCAACTATCAACTGCCTTGACGAGCGATGTTTTGTGGTGTAGGAATAGGTTGGAAGAAAGCTAGGGGCGGCCAAACCAAAACATGGAAGAAATCCATGAAATCACTGACAAGCGGACTGAGTCATGTTGTTAGATGTAGGCTACCTGGTTGGTGTCCGCGAGACGAAAGTCACCAATGGTTAGAGACCTTGAACGACATGGCTCAAAATCACTTGCAATGTTGTCACAGGTGCATCTATTCTTTGTCTCCTCTCTGGAGTCCTCTTTGTAAATTTATTTCACTGAGACATACTTCTCGAATGGTATCTTCGATCCCTAATCTTTTCGATTATCGCTAATAATGCTACTACCTCTACTTCCCTCAGATTTTACCTGGTAATTTTATTTCTCAATGCTAATGTGATATCTCGACTTGGACTAGTATTCATATGTACCAAGTTCTATATCGTAGCTAGTTGACTGACTAATATAACAATCAACACTCTCGCCGAACCTCTTTATCAACAGAGAGTGTAAGTACAATGGTAATCATCTCAATTCAGTAGGTTTCACTAATCAATCCTTCTTAATACTTTAAACTTCAATAGACTACATTGAGGATAAGATATCTCTTTTGGTTTTTAACTACTGAAGAAAACATCTCTTTATTGCATGGGTTTGTTTTACCAATCCGAAATGGTTAAGTGATTAACTCTATAAGGTGGTAATGGTTCACGGTAGTCAACAGGGAACCTAGTTCGACCTTTATTTTATGGAGTTCTTAGAAAGATGTTGATGTTCTGTCATTGAGGGAGATGATGCTCTACGGTGAATTGAATGTCTCATCAATTAGCTTTAGAGTAAACAAAAATGTGACCACATTTCAACTTGATCGATAGAATTCGATTAGCATTAAAGAGAGAGACATGACGTACAAGTGTTACGCTTTTCACGTAAACGCGTCATTTTGATTTGCTCGAACTATTACGAGTTTACCGTAGTCGGAAAACTAGAGTGAGAATTGAGGATCCGGCGACACGACAAGCTACTCTAATACAATTGTCCCAAAACTCCTATATTGAGTAAAAGAAGAAGACTTGATATGAAATAAAACGTGTATTCTACAAGCATCGAGAAAGTACGATGTCCTAGTTCAGAAGAAAATAAGGATCCCGGAGCAAGGATTCGGATCATAAAACAAACAATGCATATCTATACAGTTTGATCGAATAGGAAACAATATTTGAAGTGTGTGACATTGATAGTTAGGACGACCATAATATTGACCGGTAAGAACTGACCAATAGAATTATACTTAAATAAATAGGATATTTGATGAATATCTTCACAACAAGACATTAGTTAGTATTGAATATATTGATGTTGATTGATTCAACGGTAAGATAAACTGTCCTATACAGAGATTATTCAGACAACGTTTTTGAAAATGATGAAGCCACAGTCATACCTCTTCTGTAATGATCTAACACTATTAATGGGTACATGATTATTATCCAAGAAAGTAATACTGTTCGTTTATATCTCTGTTTTACTATTCATTAAAAAAATTGGTTTTTTTGTAGTGATTTAGTGAGACGGAATTAATTTGATACACACGTTCAAGTACTAAAGCATTCTTTACGCTAATGAGGATCTTAGATTTACCGCCTTTAAGGTAACTTGTTCATCATTTGGATTTGATTGCCTATGGAATTGATTGGCCTTAGGTTACAGCCTCAGATTCCCCAATAGCTTAATCAGTCAGTCAAGTCAACAACAACATAGGACTTCGTACGTACGCACGTACATCAGTTCAAGTTGCCATACCACATTATTAGCACAGATATACAATTGTCAACTCAAATCCCATAATAGTTAGTAGAGGTATTAGAAGTATTATCAGTAATCGAAGAGATTAGGGTGTGGTGTGTCGATTTACTGCGACAGGCTCACCATTTGTAGTGTGTCAATTTACTGCGTGTCCTTCATCTTCATGATTAGCTCATCCAAACAATTGTTACAAAATGGCGTCTGACGGTTATAAACCACAAGGTGAACTCGTAGTAATGAAAACGTTTATTTGGGACACACCACAAAGCGAAGCGAAGAAACAGTGAATAAAACGATTGAAGAGACATGAATTGGAGAAGGCTAATGAGCCAACTCCTAGGATTACAATGCGAACGAATGGGCGAAGCGCTTTGGAGGAAGCTGACGAGCCAACTCTTCGAGATAGAGCATGACTAAGAATATATATAGTCAGACAAATATAAGACAGACATGTGACCAACGAGATAGACATGCACACACATGAATAAAAGCGACGAATCGTTGACAAGGTCAAATGATGGTGGTGAGACACGTCATGTGAGCTCATACAAACCAGACAATAATAATAAGAACGAATGGTACATACAGATTGTTGCTGGCTTGGTTAAATAAATTAATCGAAAGGGCTTAACCAAATTCAATGTAAGCGAACTGGGATATTATATGTGGAGGCACACTACAAAGGTTCAACGATATTATTCAGTAAGTAGAATCTAGTGAAATAAACTTAAAAAAAAGCGAAAGATAAAGATGATGAAGAATTCAGTAGGTTAGGATTTGCGAGAACACAAAGCAATAAATGCCCCAGCGCCATCCAATACCTGACTGAGTATTATTCATTTTCTATACTTTTCAACGGTTACATTTTCAAAAAAAATCAACTGATTCTCTCTTATTTACTTATTCATACATTTATTTTGTAGAAATGCTGAAACTGAAATCACTTTTCAACTTCCAACATCTGCTGCTGCATTTTCGAATTATTCGCAGGAAAAATCTCCATCATTTATTGACTTATATTTAGATCCAAATTGTTCTTATGAAATGTCTGTGTATTATTCACTGATCAATTGGTTTTCTCAAGTAAGTGACCATATACATTATGATATATATTTGTTTGAAAAGAAATTTGTTACATGCCTGCATGTAAACACGTCAACTTGATATGCTTGAAGTATTATTACGCAGTTTACCTTAGTCGGAAAACACGAAAGCGAGGATTGAGGATCCGGTGACACGACATGCTACTCAAATCTGATTATTCCAACCGACATATTGAGTGAAAATAAGAAGACAAGACTTGATATGAAGTAGAACCAGTAGTCTACAAGCATCTGGATAGTACGAGATCCGAGTCCAGGAAAGAATCAGGATCGCGAACTAGGGATCCAGGACCGGGTCCTGGTCGTGGTCATAAAACGTTACAGATAATGCGTATTTATACATTTCGGTCGAATAAGAAACAGCATCGAAGTCTGTGATATTGAAAGTTAAGACGACCAATAGGAAGTGACATTGATTGTCAGGACAACCAATAAGAAAGAACATTGAAGCATTTGAGATTGATATCTAGGACGACCATAATATAGACCAGTAGGAATTAACCAATAAGAATTGACCAATAATTCTCTCAGGATATTGGATGACTATCTTAAAAAAATTATCTTACATCTCAAAAAAATGTTTGAACAGCTCTATTATCAGCACCTACTCCGTTTTTTGATGTATAATATGTTCTGTGACTATATCAAAAATTATTTTTAGAGATTTTTCGATAGCCAACACGTTTTTCTGGAATTCACACTATATCTTATGTAGTGTGAGTAGCTTCGTAAGGAAATGCTCTCAGTTCTAGTAAGGAGCCATGACCAGTGGAGTTCAACCTAGTCGAGTTTAGACGGTTACTTACTTAACCAAATACAATGAATGCGGTTCTTCAAGATCGTGGATTGATTAAAGTTAGTCATTAGCATTGACTCAGTGATGTAGAGGTTAGACATTATTCGCATACAAGACCCAAGATCTCCTGGGTTCGATTCCTGACAACGAGAATGGTGGATGCGTATTGCTGATCAGCCTCGGAAGACTAGGGCAAAACGGTCGTCCAGTATTTCCAAATATCTTGTGGTGGTCTAACAATCATCGATTCATCATCAGTTGGAAAATCTGAACTTATATACTAGTGTGGTGTGAGCTTACTTATAAGTAGTATATGACGCGAATGTAAACGAAATGACTGGCAGCAGAAGATGGGGAAGATCAAGAAAGGAAGAGTTAGAACACCATGGAATTTGTATGAAACGCATGAATAGTGACAATGGATTGATGTTTTGCAACAGGAACAGTCCAGTTCGATATGATGGACTGATATTTTGCAAATGAACGATTTACGATATGGTTTTCCTATTTTACTGAATAACTCTGTAATTTTCGTTGAATACAATCCGGTTGCCCCACCTGTGTTCTCGTTCACTACACTAGTACTGTTTGTCAAGTATGATAGATGATATTAGTGAATGAGATGAAGGGCGAAACCAATAATATAAGACGAAGTTATTGTGAAGAATGTTAGTAGTAGTAGAAGTAGTATTAGTAGAACTAACAGAAATTTAGCACGACGAATATCATCCAAGAAAAAGAAAATGGAAATCAAATTTTCAATTTTATGATTCATGGGGTAAAAACACCGAATGAATGCCAATATATTACTGAAACTAATTCTGAGCTATATCATTAATGTCTGCGACCAGTAAATGCAGTTATCAGGGGGGAACCTATCAGGAATTCTGTTACATCTACGTATGTATACTGCTCATTTCTAACAGTCAATGATTTTATAGGCTGATGCTTATGCTCATAGTCTTCCGATAGCAGGAAACATTGCATATCGGGATAAGTGGTTGTCAATTTTGTTTAGTGCTTGTCCCACGCACCTCAGTTGTTGACAATTCAAAGCTTCATCTGTTAATTTTTTAACCTTAGCTTGTGTATAATCTCAACTTCTTAGGTGTGTACATCACTTAAAGTTGTCATACCACATTAGTACAGACAGAGGCAATCGTCAATACCAATACCATAGTGGTAGACGTAGTAGAACTGGAAAGACTGAGGCAGGCGAGGAAGATTGTATTATGCTAATTTACACTCTAAGTCAGTTAAAAACGAAAACATTACATTGAACACTCTATTTGCACACCATCTTTGAGTCGTGACTTCCAACGCTCCCTCCATCCTTCTTCCATTCCTGTTGGTACTCCTCCATTTACTTCTTGCTTTTGCTCCATTTGCTTTCCGTTTTCCTCTTCTGACCGTGAGACTTCTTCGTTCACGTCCCTTCCTACACTACTTATATCGTTCGTATAAGTAGCACACACCACAGAATTATGAGCAGTAATCGGAAAGATTATGCATGATTGAGAAAGTATATCTCAATGAAATAAATTTAAAGAGAGAGGAAGAATTAAGAAGATTAGAATTTGACAAAAGACAAGAAATGGATACATCTACGCCATTGTCATTGAAGCTCTCAAACCAACGGTTACAATTGTCTCGCTGACCTCAAACCAAGTACTCTGTCCACACTTACTGACATGACTCCGTTCAATTGCCAATGCATTCATGGACTCAATTATATAGATTAACCCTGTATTGTCAAGGGCAATTTTACATTGGTTTTCAGGAGAATCAAGGAGGACTGCTCACGTGTTACCATTTCTACATGAACAGTTGAGATCAATCCTGTAGTGCAACTACAGAGGTACCTGATACCCTAGTAGACCATTCACATCATCTTATATATGTAACCAGTTTTGTATATGGCTGTTAGCAATACTTGCCCAAAGTAATGTCAAGTTATCTATAATGTTCACAACGAACCTCTAGTCTCGTAGGAGACATTCAGCTCTATATAGCAGCAGTATAGCATATGATGTACACATATTTATGGCGTAGGATAGTAGTCTAATACACACCTTTTACATTGATAGATGCGTGCCTCGTCTAAGTTCATGTTCGGGATGCGGTTTTCCCCCTCGAAATGCAAAATGTTGCTTCAAGATTGGGTTGCATCGACACCTGAACTAGTGATAGGGAGTGAAGTAGTCGAACGTGTAGACCGCTTCACTTATCTTGGGAGTCTCATCAGTGTCGATGGCCTGGTGACTGATGAAATCTCAGCTCGGATACAGAAGGCTCGATTGGCTTTTGCCAACCTGCGTCACTTATGGGGTAGGCGAGATATCCGTTTGCTGACTAAAGGACAAGTGTACTGCTCAGTGGCTTGCTCCGTCTTACTTTACGGCTGTGAAACACGGCCAGTGAGAGTAGAAGATATTCGTAGGTTATTGGTTTTCGATCATAGGTGTCTTCGAAGCATTGTTCGTATATCCTGGGAAACCCGAGTGAGCAACGCTGTTATTAGGAAACGGGTGCTAGGTAAGAATGGCAGATCACCAGATGAAATAATGAAACTTCATCCGTTGAGGTGGTTCGGTCATGTGTTACGAATGCCTAACCACTGACTGACTCGTCGAGCTATGTTTTGTAGTGTAGGAATCGGTTGAAAGAAAGCCAGGGGCGGCCAAACCAAAACATGGCAGAAATCCATGAATTCATTGACGAGTGGACTTAGCCATGTCGGTAGTTGTCGACTACCTGGTTGGGGTCCGCGAGATGATAATAATCGATGGTTAGAGACCTTGAATGACATGGCTCAAAATCGTTTGCAATGGCGCCGGTGCATTTATTCTTTGTGTTCTCTCAAATCCTAATCTTCTGCATTCTTCAACCTCTCTAGTTTTGACTTTCTAAACTTTTCTCATTAAATCATACTTCTTGAATAATATCTTCTATTCCTAATCTCTCCGATTACTTCTAATATCTTTACTACCTCTTCTACTATTGGATTTGAATTGACTACTACATCTCTGTGCTAATAATGTGGTATGGCAACATGAACTGATATACTTACGTACAAAGTTCTACGTTGCATTTGACTGACTGAAGTTCATTTAAATTTATTTTTTTTTTATATTAAACTAACCAAAAACTTACTTACATCTTTCCAAATAATATATATATATCACTCAATTAATAGAATAACGTACATAGAAATAATTTTAATACATATATATAGATTGACAAGATAAATGAAACTGTACAATGTTGAATAATTTAAACTTAATGACAATAATAAATAATTCAACTAGTCATTCAAAACTCAACTAACAAGCCAATTGTGTATTTTTTGTTATGTTATTATTATCTTGAGGATAATAGAGAATTTCAATCTATCGATTTTGTTCATCATTTGTGTGTGTGTGTTTGTGTGTAGGTGTATACATAAATAGCAATTACAATATATATACGTACTGTACTGTAACTGTACTGTACCACATGTATATATATATATGATATAAGAATTTTATTTTTTTAAAAAGAAAATATGTCTCTTCTGTTCATTCCTAATTCTCAACACATTTCTATAAAATACTAACTAACTAGGCAACCAATGGATCTGGTCGATATGATGATAATAACGATGATGATGATGATTGGTTTGTTGTAGTTGACGTTGTCAATTTAAATGGTCGATTAACATATTTACGAAATTTGAAAAAGTTCTGTCTCTTCGTCTCGGTGCAAATTAATTTATATGTAGCATTGTTGTGATAATATGGTGTAGGTTTGTTTGATTGAATACATTCAGCAGTAGAAGTAGTCGTCATGGCGGTCGCTGTCGTTGCCGTCGGAGAAGTAGTAGTAGTAGTACTGGTAGCGTCTGTAAATGTACAAAACACAAAACATAAAACGATCAACCTTCAATGAATTTTAAAGATAGTTTCTTCAATCAATCAAATCATCGTTTCGAAACCGTCATAAGATTTCCATTTAAATATATTCAAGTTAAGAATTTGTTAAGGGACGTGAGATTCCCAAAACTCACTTGGAAAGCGTCCTGGTTTTGGATTTTATGTTTTCGTGCAAGGGTTGGCCAGTTGACCTTGAGATTACATTTCCCACCCAAGGAAAATCCTTGACTGTTATTGGTTGATGGATTATTTTAGCACCCTACTTTGGCGTTT